GCTCATCGCCACGGCGCACCACCTCCACTCCTGTCAAGACGGTGAGGTCATGGAGCACTACGTCATCGTCCAGCCCGTCGTCAGAACGGTAGCCCCATGAGCTTGGGTGCCTCTCGATGCTCTGAAAGCTGGTGGCGATGAACTTGCCCGCGCCCAGGTTCACCAGGTGCCTCTGCGACGTCAGCCACTCGCCGGGCAGGCGGTCGAGGTAGCTCCAGGTTTGCCGCACCACCGGCGGCGAGGAGGAGGAGAGGTCAAAGGCGCGCAGGAAGTGGTCTGGGTTGCGTTTGGCGTGCTCCACGCCGAACCAGACGCCGAGCTCGGGGACGTATTCCGCCGCGCCGTCGCAGGGCAGCACCCAGCGGCCAGCCTGCCTCCACTCGCCCCTGGCCGTGTCGAAGGCGCAGGAGCTGCCGGCGTCCACGGACGACACGCAGATCGTCGTGTCGTCCACCACCGCCGCCGCGGAGGGGGAGAACACTTTCCTGCCGATGTCCGGCGAGTAGAGCGGCGGGGAGGGCAGAGGCTTCCAGCTCCACCACAGGGGCCCAGCATGAGATCGACCGTACCAAGGGAAGCCGGTCCTCGTGTAGTTCAACACCACTCGTGTAGTTCAACACCTCGAAGAAGCCATCGTAGCCATTTCCTCTGGTTATGACATAGAGCTGCTGCTGGCCGCCGCCGTCGTCGTACCGGCGGTTGACGCGTCCCCGAGGCCCGGCCACAGACATGGAGATGGAGTCGCTGTGCTTGGGAAAGCTGGGCAGGGGCACGCCGGCGACGGACTCCTTGTCGACGTCGTACATGACGGGGTTGTCGTAACACGGGACGAACATGACGGAGCCCTCTGCCTCTGCCTGCCCTCTCAGCAGCGAGAAGAAATGCATGTACGGCGAGCCGGCCATGGCCGGAGTCATCGAGAACTTGATGCTGGGCCTGGGCAGATGGTCGCCGCAGCTCGAGGTCGTTGGCAGTAACAATCCCTTCTTCTCATTCGCTTTTGCAGAAGCTGCTGCTTGTGCGGCTGCTGTGGAAGGGTGGAAGAGATGCCGCGCGAGGTCGAGACGGCACAGGGAGTAGACTCCCCTGCCGCCGTCGCGCACTATCATATTGGCGAACTGGCGATTCATCACCGTCGTCCCTCCCTCCCTCGGCCCTCGCCCAGCTAACCCACCCAGTACCCTGAGTACTATCAAAAGAAATGAGTTGTTCAAAAAAAAAAGCATCTCCAACAGGCGCCGGTCGCGTCGCGCGCAAAAAACACATATGCCGCGCACGCATCGTCTGGTTTGGCGCGGCGCGCGGCGCTGGCTCCAGCAGCCGCGTTAAAATGCAGCGCGCGCGACTCACACAAACAACATATGCATTCAAAAACAAAAGCAAAAAAATCAAAAACAAACAAAAATAAATAGTTCAATTTCGTTTATTACAACTCAAACAAACAGTTTATCGTTCAATACAACAAATAGTACAATTAAACACAACAAATAGTTCAACAATACAAATAGTTCAACAACAGTTTATCGTTCGGAAGAATCATACAATGAACTCATCTACAATGTTGAATACTATGCTATAAATAAAAAACTACAATTAACATGCACGAAATTCATGGCTTTTGAGCAATACATACCTTCTAGGCGTTTTGTCGAACACCTAGCGGGCGCCGAGCGGCAGCGAGCGCGCGGGCGCTGTTCGTCGGCGGACCAGCACGTGCGCGGGGCGGCGGGCCTAGAGGGGGGCCGGAGAAAGCGCGCGCGGGGCGGGGATAGGCCCGGGAAGCGCCGGAACGGTCGCCGGGTGGCGCGGTCGGCGGCGGCGGCGCGGCTGGAGGGGGGGTGGGAGGTGCGAGCGAGCGCGCGAGAGTCCAGCGCGCGGGAGCGGGCGCAGCAAAAAAGCGGCGCGCGATTGCGTTTCAGCCCGCGCGCTGGACTACGTATGCCGCGCGCGTGGTTTTCGCGCGCCTGCTGGAGCAGCTCTTCCGGTTGCGCGCGCGCTAAAAGGGGGGATTTTGCGGCGCGGCGCTAGTTTGGCGCGCCGGTTGAAGATGCTCTAAGAAACATGCTGCTGGCTTATTAGACGCTCACAAGCGGCGAATAGAGGAGGCTCCGCCTGGAGCTAGGGCAAATGGGCCGGCCCACTCTCCCCGTGCGCGGTTTTTTCTTTTAGCTTTTTTTCGACTTTTCACCCCCAAAAACACTGGTTATTGTTTTGAAGGACCTAGATATTTAAATCCCTACGGAAAATATAACTATATCTTAGACGCTGCACCGTATCTCTCTTTATTAAAAAGTTCACCGTATATTAGAAAATGTTGAGTGTTTATTTAGAAAATGCTGATCATATAATTTTAAAAATCCATCGTACATTAAAAAACTGTTGATTGTGTATTTTTTAAAAATGTTCACCATATACTAATTTTTTTAGAGTGTGCTTAAAAAATCAGTGTATTAGAAACTGTTTACCACATATTGAAAACACTATAAAAACATAAAAAAAAGGAAAATATATCTGAAAAAGAGAAAATGGAAAATAAATGAAAAGTAAGAAGCCAAAACAATAAACCATACACTGAAAACCACTGAAAAAAATAACAAGGAAAGAAGAAAACCGAAGCGAGGAACACATCACGCATGGTGCTGACTGTGCCCACCCACCTACCCTCGCTCTCATCGAGGGCTTGGTCTATGAGAAAGAAAACTAAAAGGATTGGCCTAGACGAGATACAACTACCCCGACTCCTTTGCTCGAAACCTAGACGTTGACCTCAGTCTCATGGGATTGGTCCTAAACTCATGCATGCTTTGTTGCAGTCTCTGGCCAACCACACGCGAGCCGACCGTTGCTTGTCTGAGTGTTCCTAATCACCACCTTTGGCGCCCGTTAGAGCGCCACTAGTGTATAGAAGCAACACTACCTCTAACGTGGGTCACATATCCTTGCCTCTAATATGAGCAATACAATCTCCAATGTCTGTGACTCCAAACCAGCCTCTAAGGTGGACCCATTAAGAGTAAAAGAATATTAGAATCCTCTCTCTCCTTGTTCCTCTCTCCCTCTTACAAGTGGGGCCGTTTGAAAGTTTAATCACTGGAGGTAGCCTCTAAGCTTAGAGGTATTTAAAGTAAACTTCACAAATGTATGAAGGCAACCTCAAAAGCCTTAGAGGCGACCTTAGAGGCAGAGAAACTCAACATTGTGGATCCTCGTAGTGTGCCGGCGCTCGCACGCAATCCTAGCGGGCCATGGCCTAAACATTCGCTAGCTCCCTTGCCTCGCTCCTCTCATACATGATTGCCCGACGACCTGCGTGTTCGCTCCCAGACACACTGGCACTGCACGCTGACGAGGAGCACTCTTCGTCCCTCCCCCCTCCCAAAAAAGGATCGACGGCTCATGCACGTGTGCGGTGGTAAAGAGTTCACACTCTATGCCAACTGTTGCTAAAAAAAGAGTTGATTGGTTGACCGGTTCACCTTTGACATGTTGACCAGTTCACTGTTCTGAAAATGTTCATGAAAACTTAAAAATATTCTTGGATTTGATTGTTTTTGCAAACTAAAAAACATTGATTCTGAAAAAATGTTCATGGATTAAAAAAATATTCACAAGTTTAACAAAAAGTTCATGGAATTTTTAAAAAAAAATTAAAGGATTGGAAAGAAGTTCACAAATTTGAACAAGGTTCACGGGTTTGAGACAAGTTTGCAAATTTGAACAAAGTTCATAGATTTTAAAATGTTCATGAATTTGAAAAAGTTTGAAATAAAGTTCATAAATACGAAAATGGTCATGAATTTGAAAAAAATGAGGAATTTAGACAGAAATTTTCATGGAAATTAAAAGAAAAAAGAAAATAAAAAAGAAAAATAAAAAGGGGAAAAGAAAAACCCAAACAAAAAAGGATCAAAAAAAGAAAAACACATGAAACCGGCCCTAGTGGAAACCGGCAGAAAACAGCGCTACCTGGGCAGTCCTAAGTGGTCCAACCCGCTCAGTCATGGGGGTGTGCGCCCGCAAATTTGAAAGAAAGTTCATAAATACGAACAAGGCTTGACAAGACAGTCACTGGTTCCTTCTCAAAAAGAAAAAAAAAACAGTCACTGGTTGTGGCGTCGAACAAATTTTCAGGATTGCAGCAACAATGCTTGGTTTGCAATTATCTGTTGTGTTGTACACTGCTTTAGCCAGGGAAGTTTCTAGAGAAGATGCCCATGAAGAATGATGTGCGTAATAGTACGCCACCATTCACATTAGCACTTAGAGCATAATTGGTTTGATGCCAAAAATAAGCATGCCAATGTTTGACAGTGTGCCAAATATTCGCTACTACTTGATTGATTCCCGAGTTGTCTTGTCTATCTCACATAAAGTTGCTAATATTTGGCAAGCCTTGGTATTGCCAATATTTGGCAATTCCAACATTTGGCTAGCCAAATATTGGCAGCAAACCAATCATGCTTTTTGAGACCAAGATAAGGATCATCCACCCTGTGGAAATGGATCCCGTTGTTTTTCTCTCTTTTGCTGAACACACATCACATGCATGCATCTATCCATCTGCGTGTCATTGCTCAGGATCAGAGGAATAAAGTCTATCCATCTTGCTATCTATGGGTGCAAAGTCCAACGGCCCGGCTCAAAACGCGCACTGGGACTGCACAAGAGCAAGAAGATAGCAGAGCATCGTAACCGCAGCTGCCGCCACAATTTTGGTCAGTCGCCAGTTCTGGAAGACGCGCAGCCTCCCACCACATCTTCTTTCAGAGGGTTTCCAAATGAGAGCACATTATCGCGTCTTGAAGATATAATAGTTGCATTATAATCCCACTCACATTTGTCTCTCTCTCTTTTTTCCTTCTCAGCCATCCATGGCTGCCTATAAGAAGGGGAGGGGTTGATGGATGATGGCACTACCAACCTATCTGCATCTGCACCCTCTCCTCTGAATCTGATCTTCCTTACTCCCTTTCTTGGTTGAGCGGGAGACAGAGAGAGACATGGCGGCACTCAAGCTCAAGCTCATGGTGCCACCGGCAGGCTTTTGCTTGTTTCTACTGCTCATGCCACCACTCCTACTTCCTCCTGGTAAGCATTTGCCTCCTTTCTCAGTCTTGCCTTCTTTCTTTCTTACAAATATGACACTCTGCATCCTTCCTCCATGTTCTAATATTCTTTCTTTCCGAGACCAGTTTATTGCTGATCTGGTATGTGAGTGAAAGGATTATAAATTTATAATAAACTGCATGCCAAAATAGTTGAAAGGTTCATCGAACTAACACAAGTTAATCACATTTTCTTTGTAGGATGTGCTGCCACTCGTCCTGATCCCACCCAAGGGCCATCTGAGGGCAACAACAGGACATGCACGGAGCTGAGCAAGAGGAGCCCCATCCTCTACTGCGAGCACCACGCATGCGTCGACAACTGCCGCATCGAGGGCTTCGCCGAGGGAGGGTTTTGCAACTGGCTGCGCTGCCTCTGCAAGAGGCCCTGCTGAATGTGACGATGCTGCTTCAGGATGTTGCGAGCGATGCAACGAGTAATAACTAATAAGATGCATCAAAGTGTTGATGTGCATTTTCTCAAAAAAAAAAAAGTGTTGATGCGCAAGTTGTAACCGCAACAAATTTCCTTCTCTAAAAATTTGTCAACTCCCAGTTGCAAGCTATATAATCTGAGGAATCTAAATATTAGTTTAACAACCTGAGTTTAATTCCTAGAATTGATAGGTGATGCACAGGGGGTTTTCCCCATTTATTAAGGATCAAGTTTGGTGTGTAGTGGAACCACTCATCAAAAAATATCTTAATACTCATTTAAAAACAATCTGAGGACCATGTTTATCTTGATACTCATACTAAAAATGGCCATATGCATCTCTAGTTGGTGCAGAGGCCGGAGAAGTAAAATTCTCCCCCATTTTTATGCAAAGAGAGCCTTGGCTCAGTGGTTGGGCATGCGGTTGTGCAGCCTAACAATCAGAGTTCAATTCCTAGAATTGACAGGTGATGCACAGGGGTTTTCCCCATTTATTGAGAATCAAGTTTGGTATGTGGTGAAACCACTCATCCCAAAATATCTTGATACTCATTTAAAAAAAGTATGAGGACCATATTTATCTTGGTACTCATACTAAAATGGCCCTATGCATCCTTAGTCGGTGCAGTGGCCGGGGAAATTAAATTCTCCCCAAATTTTTAAGGTCCTGAACCTGAAGCCCCGTCCCCCGCGTCCCTCTCTGAG